AGTGGATGCCACAAGGTTCCGTCTTAGGCTCAGTACTCTTCAATATCTTCATAAATGACTTAGATGAGAGAATAGAAGGGGAACTTACCAAATGGGTGGATAATACTAAACTGGCAAGAATAGCCAACACCCTAGATGATAAGCTCAAGATTCAGATGGATCTTGACAGACTTGAACATCTAACAAAATGAAATTCAATGTAGAGAAAAGTAAAGTCTTACACTTAGGCAAGAAAAACCAAAAGTTCAGATATAGACTGGGTGAAACCAGGCTTAATAGCAGTAGCTGTGAGAGGAATTTTGGAATTTTAGAAGACAACCAATTATTTTTTGACCCCCAAAATATGGCTTGGGCCTTATTATCGGGGGAGGGGTATTGTTTTGGGGTTGCCAGGTGGCTGCTGTCTTGCGATTGGGCTCCCGAAGAGCTGGGCAGAGCCTCGGGGGTGAACAGCTGTATTGCAGCAGCAGCCATGAGGTGACCACGCTCACGAGCAGCCACCTGGCAACCTCCCTTTCTAGCCAGGCACAGCATCATTCACTGACCTAATGGTATCCCAAAGGCACCAAGCTGCGTGGCGCTCCACCTGCCCCCAGCTCCCATGGCTTGGCGCTTTCGGAATACCCCTAGGTCAGTGAATGGCGCTCTGCCCGGCTGGAGAGGGGGGGTTGCCCAAGCGCCTGTTCCGCCCCCAGCTCGTGTGCCTCCCAGCCTCACCATGCCCTGGCCTAGCTCTCCCTGCAGGACCAGGGCACCAGTGCCACCACTGCCATCCCAGCATGGCTTCTCCGGCTTTCAAATTCCAGAGATCGGCTGCTGAGTCTTCCAGCAGTGACCGCTCTGGGAATACACTCTATGGTTGAAGAAGCCAGAGAAGCCATGCTGGGGTGGTGGTGGCGGCGGCGCTGGTGTCTGGCCCTGCAGGGAGAGCTGGGCCAGGGCATGATGAGGCTGGGAGGCACATGAGCTGGAGCAGAACAGGCGCTCACGCATCCCCTCTCTCCAGCCGGGCAGAGCACCATTCACTGACCTAGGGGTATTCCGAAGGCACCAGCCATGGGAGCTGGGAGGCGGGCAGAGCACCATGTGGCTTGATGCCTTTGGGATACTCCTAGGTCAGTGAATGGTGCTGTGCTTAGCTAGAAAGGGAGATTGCCGGGGGGCTGTTCGTGAGCGTGGTCACCTCATGGCTGATATGCTGCGCTGTTGCAACACAGCCATTCACCCCTGAGGCTATGCTTGGCTCTTCGGGAGCCCGATCGCAAGAGAGCAGCTACCCAGCAACCCCCCTCTCCAGCCAGGCAGAGCGCCACTCACCAACCTAGCGATATCCCGAAGGCAACAAGCAATGTGAACGCCTTTGCCCCCCCTCCCCTACTGGGCTCCTGCATCTTGGCGCCTAGTGAGTGGTGCTCTGCCTGGCCGGGGGGGTGGGTGTCCGGGGGGCTTATTTTCAGGGGAGGGCTTATATTTTTGCTCACCCGAAAAATATGGCATGGCCTTATTTTCAGGACAAGTCATATTTTGGGGAAAACATGGTATGAGCCAAGAGTGCCCGGTGGCAGCCAAAAAAGCCAATACAATCCTAAATTGCATTAAAAGAAGGATATAATCAAGGTCAAGGGAGGTACTAATACCACTCTATAAAGCCTTAGTAAGACCACACCTAAAATACTGCATCCAGTTTTAGTAACCACACTATAAAAAAGATGTTGAGACTCCAGAAAGAGTGCAGAGGAGAGCAATAAAGATGATTAGGAGACTGGAGGGAACATATGAAGAACGGTTATAGGAACTGGGCATGGCTAGTCTAGTGAAGAGAAGGACCAGGGGAGACATGATAGCAGTCTTCCAATACTTGAGGGACTGCCACAAACAGGAAAGAGTCAAGCTATTTTCCAAGGCACCTGAAGGCCAGACAAGGAATAATGGATGGAAACTGAATAAGGAGAGATTCAACAGATTAACAGAGTTGGAAGGGACCTTGTAGGTCATCTAGTCCAATCCCCCCCCCCCCAAGCAGGAGACCCTACACCATTTCTGACAGATAACAGTCTAGTCTCTTCTTTAAAGCTTCCAGTGATGAAGCTCCCACACCTTCCGAAGGCAACTTCTGTTCCATGGGTTGATTGTTCTGTCAGAAAAGTTCTCCTTATTTCTAGTTTGAATCTCTCCTTGATCAGTTTCCATCCATCATAACCATTATAATTATAATCTAATATAATCCATTATAAGGAGAATTTTTCTAACAATGAGAACAATCAACCAATGGAACACAAGTTGCCTGCAGAGGTTGTGAGAGCATCACAGGAGGCTTTCAAAAAGAGACTGGACTGCCATCTGTCAGAAGTGGGGTAGGGTCTCCTGCTTGGGTTGAACTAGATGATCGACAAAGCCCCTTCCAACTCTGTTAATCTTTTAATCTGTTAAAGCACACCTTTTTTCCCAGGAAGTTGAACAATTTGCGGGCTTTGCCTGCTTTAAATCATTTCAATGCTGATTTAAAGATGTATTTCTGTGCTTTCCTTATTACGTTTTCCCCCTCCAGGCTGGAGCCAATGAGAATGATTACTTTGATGGCGCATGGTGTGCAGAAGATGACAGTAGCATACAGTGGATCCAGGTGGATACAAGACGAATTACCAAATTCACAGGAGTCATCACCCAAGGCCGGGATTCTCTGCTCCAGTATGTGAGAGTCTGGGCAAGTTTGCTGTAGGTGTGGAACAGGGGTGGGTTCCGGCAGAGATTACTGCCGGTTTGTTCAGGGACATGCCGTGCGCGCTTGATATCCACACTGTGCATGCGTGCACAGCACAACTAAAATTGCTCTGTGCATGCGCAGAAACAACAAACGAGATAGCGGCAACCTATGGTGCCACCAGTCCGGGGGCGTGGCAGGCCTGGGTCTCTGCCACCCAGGCCGCCAAGCTACTACCAGTTCAGCCAAACCGGTCCAAACCTGTAGGAACCCACCACTGGTGTGGGGTCTTGGAGGATCAGTTGAATGGATGAAATAAATGGATGTAGAAGGGAAAAGTGGACCACAACATATTGCTTGCTCTGCATTGGATCTCTGCATGCTCTAAAATTCTGCAACTAAAGAAGAAAATGAATTCTATATGATGGGTATCAGGGGTGGGTTTCTCGCCCCGTTCAAACCGGTTCGGTTGGAATGGGGCCAGCGGCGTCCTCGTGCACGCATGCGGTGCACGCATGCGTACTAGCGTCTGTGCAATGCTCCAGCTGCTCCTGGAGGATCGCGCAGGCG